TGCTGCGTGTGGGCTGAGCTGCAGGGATCTGTGCTGGCATCACCCAGGCAGTGTCAGCTGTGCCCATCACTGGGTATGTGTTACATTGATCTCTCATAATAAATACCCAAAAAAGTAAGTTAAATCTGGACTCCTTATGCTGAGTTAAAATTCCTCCCAATGGAACTCTTGTCTGGGAACTGTGGGTTGTGGGACGGTGATATCCAGTGGTCCCCAGCCAGACTGCAGCCTTCTGGCTGTCTCCTCTTATTCCCTCTGCTGTGGCTGAGTCTGGCATTCCAGGCAGTGATCCCTGCTAGGGTGAGGAGGATTTGGGAAGAGCTTAAATATTTGATCAATGCCAACTTTCAGAGGAGCTGGTGGATCCCTTGGCCCCCCTGCCTGTCATCTTTTACTTGCAGGGGGGTACAGACCCCTCACTTTGGGAGTTCTGAGATGAGGTTTAGGGAGACTTTGATGGTTATTACTCACAGGGTGCTGAGTCACTGGCACAGGTTGCCCAGAGAAGCTGTGGCTGCCCCATCCCTGGGAGTGTTCCAGGCCAGGTTGGATGGGGCTTGGAGCACCCTGGGCTGGTGGAAGGTGTCCCTGCCCATGGCAGGGGGTGGGATGGGATGAGCTTTAAGGTCCCTTCCAACCCAAACTAGTCTGGGATTCTGGGATAGCTACATCATCCATTTGCCAGGGCACTGGCAGATCCATGGCCCTTATGTCATGGTCCTTCCCTCTTGGCAGCACAAACAGGTAAATCCACCTGGCAAAGGCACCAGCTGGGCTGTGCACAGGTGCTGGCACTCTGGGGGGCTGCATGAAAGGTATCACATCCTGAGTCTTGGCAGAAAATCCTATAATTGCAACAACAACAAAAATCCAAGGTAAAAAGCCCCCAAGCCTTGAAGCAAGGCTTGGCCATGATAACGAGTTTTATATCCCTGGGGGATGGCCCAGCAGCTTTATGGCCCTTTTTTTTTCTTAGCAATGCAAATCCAATCCATATTTGAGAGCCTCCCATCCACTGCCTCTTCACACAGGCCGAGGGCAGCCTGCAGCCTTCTGGCAGGAAAAGTGGGGTCCTTGTCCCTGCAGCAACACCCTCAGTCCTGCAGATCCAGTCCCTCGAGCCTCTGCCTTCCAGCGTCCCCTGGATCCTGCCCACGAGGAGCTGCCCCAGGACCCTGCTGTGCTCTGGAGCTCCTGCTCTGCCCATGGCTGGTGCTGAGTGTGGTCACCACCGGCTGCAGGAGGTGATGAACATGGATGTGAAGCCTAAGCCCTCACGGCCGCACTGGTGTGAGCGCTGCGTGCAGCCCTGCCTGGCCGAGCTGCTGGGCACTGCCCTCTTCGTCTGCCTGGGCTGCCTCTCTGTGCTGGAGGCCGTGGAGGGCACCGGGCGGCTGCAGCCTGCCCTGGCACATGGGCTCGCCCTGGGGGTCACTGTCGCCGTCCTGGGAGACATCAGGTAAGGGATGGACACCTGGGGCCGCGCGTGGCACGGTCCCTGCGGCAGCACACGCGGCGATTCCCTGTGTGGACGGGGGAGATGTTTGTGTCTCCTCATGCTGCCTTAGTCTCCTCCCTGCCCAAATCCTGGTGCCTGCAGCAGCCCTGTCCTGCCATCGAGTCCCTCAGGCAGTGCTGTGGCAGCTTGTGGGGTGGTGGTGGCACCCATAGCACTGTGGGTTTGTAGGGTTTGTCTGGCTTTGGATTGCAATGGTTTAGTTTTAACCCCTTTCAATAAAACCAGTGAAAGATGAAACAGCAGCATCCTCTGGAAAGGTGAGCCAATTCCTTTTACAAGGATGTCAAAGCAAAATGTTTTGACCCAAGTGTGCTGCTTCACTGGGTATTTTAGTGAAAAACTTGGATTCCATTTACAAGCAGCTTCAATTCCTCAAAAGAAATACTTAGGCAAACTTGGTCTTTGAAAAAGGTGTTGTTTGGTGCGAAGTTATAGGTTTATCCCCAAGGAAGAAGCTGGAACGGTCTCTGTGGAGTTCATTCCCTTCTCTCATGTTGGGCCCACACAGCCCAGGGATAGGATGGCTCTCCCAGGTGGCTGGGCTGGGAGCATGGGTGAGCCCTGCAGTCCAGAACAGCCTGACTGATGATTTATCAGTGCCTGATTAGGGGGAAAATGCCCCAGGGTGAGGTTTGTGCAGTCAGGACTCAGTGACCCATGGTGCCTATGCCAGCAGAGCCAAATGGGATGTCTGCTGCACCCCAAGCCCTCAGCATGATGAAACCATTGGGAGCAGGACAGGGCAGCTTCGTGGTGAGGGGCTGCAGAGGGGTTCCCCATTATCTCTGAAGCCAGGAGGAGCCAACTCAGGGTCCTGCACAGGGACATGTTTTAGCCTTAAGTCAGATTCACACAGAATGCCGGAATGGTTTGAGTTGGAAGGGTCTTAAAGCTCATCCAGTTCCACCCCCTGCCCTGGGCAGGGACACCTTCCCCTAGCCCAGATTGCTCCAAGCCCCATCCAACCTGGCCTGGAACACTCCCAGGCATGGGGCAGACACAGCTGCTCTGGGCAACCTGTGCCAGAGCCTCAGCACCTCACAGGGAGGAATTGTGTCCAGAGAGGCTGGCGAGGAGCTGGGCTCAGGCTGGGGGCTCACAGCAGGTGGGTGCTCCAGCTGGGGTTTGTTTGCAGCCAGGTCCTCCTTCAGCCCCCAAGCTCCCACCCATCCCAGGGGTGTTCCCATCTGGAGCCCCAGTTTCTACCCTGCACAACACAACCTCTTGCTCTCCTGTGATGGATCTGAATTCCAGCTGTGGAGTAAGATGTGATTATCGTTCCCAGACACTCTGACTCATCACCTCACTGGTAATTATCAGGGCTGATCGGTTATGAAACCTTGTGGTAATTGGTTTTAATTAGAAGGTCTCTAAGTCTGTCTTGCTTGTGGTCTTCAAGATGAATGATTTAGGTCTGGTTCTGAGATGAGCACCGACTTCAGCCCAGCCCAACAGCCCTGCTCATGTCCCTGCCTCCCCAGGTGATGTGTGACCTGCCAGGCTGGGTACCAGCCTCACCAGGGCACTCTTGCAGCTCTGGGTGAGATCCCTTCTCCCCTCACCTGCCCAGGCAGTGCTACAGCAGCTCCTGGAAGCATCTGGTGGGTCTCCAGAGATCCATCCCCAAACTCTGTCCCCCTGACAGGGTTTGTCCAGCCTGACAAAAGTGCTGCTTTGAAGCAGTGGCTGCAGAGGAAGGAAGGGGCTGGATTCTGCTCTTCTGGAGCACATAACACCTTCTCATGGAAGGACTGGAACAGCCCTTGTGGCTCCAGCCCACGATGAGCCCCCAGGAGGGAACCCCATGCTGGGGGCGAAGCCCTCAGTGATGCTCCTCTCCTTTGCAGTGGAGGCCACTTCAACCCTGCTGTGTCCCTGGCCGTGTGGCTGGTTGGTGGGCTGAACATGACCATGCTCATCCCTTACTGGGTCTCCCAGCTCTGCGGAGGGATGATAGGAGCTGGCCTGGCAAAGGTATGGACACCCGGGGGGGTCTCTCCAGCCAGGGCTAGGACACAGGGTTTCCCCTCACTATGCCAGAGCTGGCCTGGCCACCCCAGCCTGCTGCAGCCCCGAGCCTTGGGGCTGGGCTAATTACTTAATTAATAGCAGCTGCTCTCCAGAGGTTTGCTGTGATGCACTAATTAGGCACAGAAGGACACAGGGTACCTCTGCAACACCTGCCACACTCACACATGGCATTTACCTGCACTTCTGCCTCCAGCACTGCATCACAAGGTTAATTGAGGGTTGGTGCTGCCCATTCCCAGCGTCCTGGAGGCAGCACTCCCCTGCACCCTGTGGTTTGGCCACCACAACCCCCTGAGTGACTGGGTGAGGCCCTTCCTACTGGGAGAGCTGCCTGGCTCATTATCCCAGGAGAAGCTAAGCACCTTCACTAATGAGTGTCTATGTGCCAGGTGCTTAGGGTTGGCCCTCAGGAGGCAAGTGCTGAGTTTAGCTCCTCTTTAACCGGCGTCGTCCGCCCACGCTGTGCCCACAGTGAGCACAGATGCCCGGGAACGCTCCCGGGATGGAGCGTGGATGGCACTGGTGGTTCCCCACACAGGCCGTGACGCCGGGAGAGCACTTTGGGAACGCCAGCGGAGGAGCCTTCGGCGGCGTCGCAGCCGATGAGCAGGTCCCTGCTGTCCTCCTGGGAGAGATCATCATGACCACCTTCCTGCTGCTGGTGGTCTGCATGGGAGCTGTCAATGGGAAGACCAAGACCCCTCTGGCACCGTTCTGCGTCGGCTTCACTGTCACAGCCAACATCCTGGCGGGGTGAGCTCAGGGACACTCTCTGCATGCATTCCTGATGGGCAGACAGGGACAGACAGTGCCAGCACTCCAGCAGATGCTGTCACCAGGCAGGGGGGATGATGGGCCACCAGCTACAGGGATGGAGCTGATGCTCAGAGCCCCAGGGACAGCTCTAAGCACTCACCATCAGCGTTTCCTCACTCCTGCCCCAGCCAACAGCATCCTATACCAGGGAGGAGAGAGTGCCTGTGTCTGGGATGGGATGGGACATGCCCTTATACAGCACAGCACCGGCCCTGCTGCCCAGGGAAACTGAGGCACACCAGGAAGGCCATGAAATGAGCCCACTGGGTGCTCTGGAAGCTTTGGGAGAGCTGCTGGGCACAACCTGGCCAGGCACAGGAGTGGCCATAGGCTCAGCGTGGCACGTGGCCGTGGAGCCAGGACAGCCGTCCTGAGCTCCTGCCTGGGTGATAAACCCCAGGCCCACCCGGGCTGTGTTTGCTGTAGGAAGCCCTGAGCAAACAGGAGGGGGTTTGTGTCCCTCACGTCCCTGTGGCTGCTGCAGGCACTGCCAAGCACATCAGAGCAGCTGGGCTGTGGTGCCACTGACAGCAAAAGTAGCGCATGCAATTAGCAATGCTAACGGGGTATTGGGTTAGGGCAGCTCCTGCCTGCTCTAAAAGAACCCCCAGGCCGTGTTTACACAGCACAAACTGCTCAGCAAATATTTATCCCTTGCAGCTTTCTTTAACCTGTAATTGCTACTGTCCCTCCTGTCCTGCTCTGTGACCTGTGTGTGGTGTGGAGCCCCTCCTGTTTGAGCCTGACTCCTGGGATGCCCCAAAATAAACCTGGTACTGGTGCTTCCACCCCACACTGGGCTTTTTCTAGTAACTTGCCAACACTGGAGAACAAAGGCTGGTGCTGGTGAGCAGCTGCTGTCGGGGCAGAGCGGTCACTCGTGTCTGGGCTTCCTTACTCTGCCAAGGAGAACCATTGCCATCACTGAGCAGCTGTGCTGTGCTGGGGCCAGGGGAGTCTGAGCCCACCACCCATACAGAGCCCTTGCAAAGAGCCCCAGGAGGAGGATGCTGCCCCTGCACCAAGGGGACATGTGCTGGTCCCACATCCTGCTGTGATGTGCTCTCTTCCCCTTTCAGGGGTGGCGTGTCCGGAGCCTGCATGAACCCTGCCCGAGCCTTTGGGCCAGCTCTGGTGGCAAACTACTGGGACTACCACTGGGTTTACTGGGTGGGGCCCATGGTCGCTGCCCTCCTCGTTGGTGTGCTGGTGAGGTAGGTGATGTCTGCAGCAGTATGGGGGGCCAGGGCTGTGCAGGCTGACCCCCCTTTTGCTCCCCGTGCTGCTGCCCTGCTCCCTGTGTCAAGGCTGCAAGCACACATTTTGCCAGGGAGATGTCCAAGGGCTGAAGACTCCTGTCCCTTCTTCCCATGAGGACTGGGTGACAACAAACATCCAACCTGCATCCAAATCCACATTTGCTCCATCTGTGTCTTGCACAGTGACCCTGTTGCACCCTTGTGATGGCAGAAACACTGACCACGAGTTTCTCTCTCTTTTGCCTCCCCAAAGGCTCCTGATGGGTGACCAGACCACCCGCCTGCTCCTGAAGTGACGTGGGGCACAGGGCCCCGTCTGTGCCACAGCCACTGACCTGCCTTGGGCAGCTGCTGTGGCTCACACAGCTGGCATGAAACCTCCTGCTCCTCCCTCACCATCCCAAATCCCCCTCTCATTCCCCCCACATCCTCCCCACATCTCCCAGCCACCCCACACTCTGGTGATGGTTCTCCTGATGCTGCAGGGAGGATGGAAACCTCCCAGCCAAACTGTGGTCCCTAGGGCTCTGACAGCCCCTGCCATGGGACTGGCTCACCAGGAGCATCCTCTGCCCAGCACCAGTGCCCGTGGTGCCCCAGTCTCCCCGACATTGCCTGTGCACCGTGTCTGTCCCCCCAGAGCAGTGCCTATAGTGCCAGGGAGCCCTGTGTTCTCCGGGTGGGCACTGCTGCCTCCCCCTCTGGTTGTCTGGGAGATGCCCATGGCCTGCCCCAGGGATGCTGCTGCAGAGGGTGACAGCAGAATGGAGCTCTGGGCGTCAGGAGGACCAGGGGGTAAGGCACCCACCCAGATCTCAGGATGGGTCATCCCCCTCCTCCTGGAGGAGTGCTGGGGCCGGGGAGGGTGAGGGGAGGGTCTGCTTGCCAGAGGGGCTTGCTGCACAGACAGGACGAGCTGGAGCAGGAGAGTGATGGAGCTGTGTGGGCAGGGGGAGAGGAGCCAGCGCAGCAGCTTTATGTCAGCCTGGCATCCATCCCCTCCCTCATCCCCCGGGGGATCCGCGGGGACACATCCCCATGCCCGCGGGACCCGTGGGGCTGGGAACTGGCATGTGGTCTCCCTGTGAGCACACCCGGCCCCAGCCAGGAGCCCCTCGTGTTCCCGGGATTCAGTCACTCCTAATTTTGCAAACTTTTAACTTGAGACATGTTGTTGCTTTCCCAGCCTGGCTCGGAGGTGCCCTGGGCTGGTCCTGGGGCAGAGGCTGTGCTGGGAGACCTGTGACCCCTGCACTGGGCTGCTCACCTGCCTAGCCCCGGGGCACTGGTCCGGGGATGGGGCTGGAGGGCAGGATGAAGTGGGAGCAGGAAAGGGCTTGGCTGCCCTAAGTGGGGTGATAGCTCCTTCCCCTGGACAGGAGCTGTGTTCTGGGCTCTGGCTGTTCCCCCTCTCCGGCAGCGAGTGGGTCTGGAGGAAACCCCCGGGTAAGGCAGATGCTTCCTCCCTCTCTCCTCAGGCTGCTCTCAGAGTCGCTGTGACAGGGCA